CCACCTACCACCCTGTTTTCCAGCATCCTTCCCCACACTGAAATTCCCAGGGAATTTAATCCCTAGTTTACAGGTTGGGAAACTGAGGCACCAAGAAGGTAAGACTAGCCTGATCTCAGCCTGTCAACGGAAGGCCCAAGATTTGAATTGAGGGCTGAGCACAGTAGTTCATACCTATAACTCTGGCACTCTGGGAGGCCGAGGTGGGTGGATTGCTTGAGCTCAGGAGTTCAAGACCAACTTGAGCAAGAGTCAGACTTGTCTTTACTAAAAATAGAAAAACTGAGGCAGGAGGATCACTTGAGCCCAGGAGTTTGAGGGTGTTGATCCATGATGCCACAACACTCTACAGAGGGCAACAAAGTGAGACTCTGTCTCAAAAAAAAAAGTAAAAAAGGCGGTGCCTGTGGCTCAGTGAGTAGGGCACCGGCCCCATATACCAAGGGTGGCAGGTTTAAACCTGGCCCTGGCCAAACTGCAACAACAACAAAAAATAGCCAGGCATTGTGGCGGGCACCTGTAGTCACAGCTACTCGGGAGGCTGAGGCAAGAGAATCACCTAAGCCCAGGAGTTGGAGGTTGCTGTGAGCTGTGATGCCACAGCACTCTACCAAGGGTGATAAAGTGAGACTCTGTCTCAAAAAAAAAAAAAAAAGGAATTGAATGAAGTAGTCCAGAGTCCACGTGCTAATATCTCTTTAACCCTGGCTTTCCTATCTTGATCCTGGCCCAACCCTGGCCCAACCTAGCTCTGCCCTAGGTGTGTTCTCAGTGAGATTTCACTATAGAGACCCTGGAGCCAGAAGATCTGTGTAATAATGCAATCCCAGCTAGTCTAGCCCTGCTGGATAAGAAACATATGGAACTATGTTCCTGAATACAGAAAATTCAGAATAAAATCAAGCAGTACTTAGATAAACAGAATCCAACCCAGTGGTAAGGGAAACTGGGGAGGGGGGAGGGTGTGCCTGCAAATCTCAGTTAGTTGGAAACATTAGGTAACTCAAACCCAGAGTACATGGGCTGTCACATCACTCACATCACAGAGAGTAGCAAAAAGGATTCAATGTAGTTTATCATGATCTTGGGATGGGGGAAGTCTGAGTCATGGGCAAAATATTTGGTTGATGGTCAGCCTCAGTCTGCTGGGAAAACCTCCCCAAATCACTTGGATGACAAAATGTTTTCCTTAGCCAATATCTTTAATACTGAGAAAGCTAGAATTGAATAATGATTGTTAATGTGTACCAAATGTGTAAACAACATGAGATTTGTAAATTGACCTTTAAAATTTAAGTTACGCTTTTGAATTTACTTTAAAATACAGACTGTTTCTAAAGCCAAAGAAACTACCAACAGTCTCTTCTGTGCACCATACCCACTCTTAAGAACACCAGCAACCTCTTGGACAAACCTGGAGATCAACCTCTTTTGCCAGACACGGTGACCTGGGCACCTGGGGGAGGGCTCCGCCCCCGGGGCTACTCTTCTGGGCTTTGGCAGCAGAAAAATATGGGCGTAAACTCAAATTGTCCTGTTCACTGACTGGGTGACTTGACCTCTTTGAAGCTGGTCACCTGTCTATAAAGTGGAGATTAAAACAATACTCACTTGACGATTCCCTCCTGGGTCCCTCCCACATGTGTTAATCAAGTATTCCTGTAAGCTGGTCCCTGCTCTGGGTGCTGGGGAGTTGGCGCCCAAGGACAAAGGCGGCTGTAGGTCTCAAGGAGCTTATGCTGTGTAGGAGAGGCAAGAAAATAACGGAGAGATGAGTGACAGAAGGAATTCAGGTGGGTCAGTTGAGCAGGGAGTGGGGAGCTGCTTTAGGTAGTAACATATGGGCTTGAGGTAGTAACATATGAGCTGAGGCCTAGATGCTAGAAGCAGCAGCCCACACAGACATCTGGAAGCAGAGCTTTCTAGACAGGAACAGAGATCAAGCCCTGCGGCCACATGGCCAGGCCAGAATGGCCAAAGTGGTGAGGCGGGGGATGGAGACAAGTAGGACTCCCGGGAAGCCATGAGGGCCCAAGAGGAGAGGTGTCCGGCCTAGCCCTGGGGTGGACCCAGGCTCTCAGAGCCTGCCACTTAACAATTTGGGGGCCCTTAAGAAAAAGAAGGAAGCTTAAACATCGTTTGCCTCTGCCTTGTGTATGGTAGCAGGTGTTATACAGATAGAAGCAGATAATGCTTTTATTTATTTTTTTTTTCAGGCATCAATCTCTAGTCTTTTACAAATTTTACACTAGGCCAGGCATGGTGGCTCACACCTATAATTCTATCATTCTGGGAAGCCTAGGTGGGTGGATTTCCTGAGCTGAGGAGTTTGAGATCAGCCTGAGCAAGAGGGAGATTCCATCTCTACTAAAAATAGAAAAATTAGCCAGGCTTGGTGCCCATAGCACAGTGGTTACAGCCCCAGCCACATAAAATGAAGGTGGTGGGTTTGAACCCAGTCCAGACCACCTAAACAACAGCTAAACAACTCCAACAACAAAAAAACAGCCAGAGCTCAGCGCCTGTGGCTCAAGTGGCTAAGGCACCAGCCATATACACCTAAGGTGGTCGGTTTGAATCCAGCCCAGGCCCGCCAAATAACAATGACAGCTGCAACCAAAAAAAAATAGCCAGGCATTGTGGCAGGCGCCTATGGTCCCAGCTACTCAGGAGGCAGAGGCAGGAGACGCGCTTGAGCCCAAGATTTTCAGGTTGCTGTAAGCTGTGATGCCATAGCACTCTACTGAGGGCAACATAGTGAGATTCTGTCTTGAACAAAAAAAAAAAAGAAAAGAAAAAGAAAGAAAGAAAAATTAGCCAAGGCAGGCTCAGTGCCTGTGGCTCAAGCGGCTAAGGCGCCAGCCACATACACCTGAGCTGGTGAGTTCGAATCCAGCCCTGGCCTGCCAAACAACAATGATGGCTACAACCAAAAAATAGCTGGGCGTTGGGGAGGGCGCCTGTGGTCCCAGCTTCTTGGGAGGCGGAGGCAGGAGAATCACTAGACCCTAGGAGTTGGAGGTTGCTGTGAGCTGTGATGCCAGAGCACTCTCCCCAGGGTGACAGCTTAAGGCTCTGTCCCCCCCCTCCAAAAAAAGCAGTATTATTCACAGTTTACTCTGGTAAACCAAGGGTAGAATGTTCATGCAGTGGAATATGATTCAGCCTTCTTTTTTTTTCTTGTTCTTTGAGGCAGAGTCTCACTTGGTCTCCCTCCGTAGGGTGCCATGGCCTCATAGCTCACAACAACCTCAAACTCTTGTACTCAAGTGATTCTCTTGCCTCAGCCCCTCAAGTAGCTGGGACTATAGGCGCCTGCCACAATGCCCAGTTGATTTTAGAGATGAGGTCTTGCTCTTGCTCAGGCTGGTCTAGAACCTGTGAGCTCTGGCAGTCCACCCACCTCAGCCTCCCAGAATGCTAGGATTACAGGCGGTGTGAGCCACTGCTCCTGTCCCTATGATTCAGCCTTGCAAGGAAAATGCTGGCACACGCTACAACGTGAATGGACCTGAGGACATTACGTTGAGTGAAATAAGCCAGTCACAAAAGAGCAAATACTGGACAAGTCCACTCACTTGAGGTCCCTGGTGTACTCAAATTCATAGCCACAGAGTAGAACGAGGTTTGTTGAGGGTGGGAAGGGGGGTATTAGTTTTTATTGGGGAAAGAGTTTCAGCTGGGAAAGATGAAACAGCTCTGGGGATGGATGGACATGATGGATGGATGTGAAGGTTGCACATCACTGTACTTGTACTTAATGCCACTGAACTGTACTTGTAAAAATGGCTAAAATATGTATTTAGGGAAGGTAAGAAGGCCTGTTCTTTCTGGATTTGTTTCTAACACTTATCACTATCTGAACAAAGATTTAATTTTCTTTCTTTCTTTTTTTTTTTTTTTTTGAGACAGAGTCTTACTTTGTTGCCCTTGGTAGAGTGATATGGCCTCACAGATCACACCAAACTCCAACTGTTGGGCTCAAGTGATCCTCTTGCCTCAGTTTTTCATCTTTAGTAGAGACGTGGTCTCACTCTTGCTCAGGCAATCCACCTACCTCAGCCTCCTAGAGTGCTAGGAAGTGTGAGCCACCATGCTTGGCCAAAGATTTAAATTTTTTTATTTTTTAAATTTTTTTGAGACAGAGCCTCAAGCTGTCACCCTGGGTAGAGTACTGTGGCATCACAGCTCACAGCAACCTCCAACTCCTGGGCTCAAGCGATTCTCCTGCCTCTGTCTCCCAAGTAGCTGGGACTACAGGTGCCCGCCACAACGCCTGGCTACTTTTTGGTTGCAGCCGTCATTGTTTGTTTGGCAGGCCCGGGCTGGATTTGAACCTGCCACCTCAGGTGTATGTGGCTGGCACCTTAGCCACTTGAGCTATAGGTGCCAAGCCAAAAGATTTAAATTTTTATTTGCTTTATTATCCATCTCTTTCCCCTTTAGCATGCAAGCTCCATGAGCACAGGGATGGTTGTCTGCTCACTATTGCACCCCTGGAGTTTAGAGCAGTGTCTAGAAAACACCTGTGGAATGAATGTGACTGTCCCAGTAGCAGCAGCTGTCAAGGCAAGTTTTCCCTTCATCCTGCCTCCAGCCCTGCCCCTCCGCCACTCTTTTAAGCCCTCCTCCTTTCCAGCCCTCCTCAGACCCCAATGCTGCAGTGGTCCCAGCTCCCTGGAGTAGTGGCTCCTTAATGTCCCACTGTAAGAACCTTGCTCAGTACAGTGTCATTACCATTATAAGGAGCTGGCATTTACTGACATTTTTCTGATCTCTAAGTCAGCCTTCACAGAGATGATCCCTCCTTCAGAGGGCACAGCAGGCATTGTTCTACCCATTTATAGTTGAAGAAACTGAGACCTGTTGAGATGAAGCCACCAGCCCAGCCTCCTGTGCACGGCATAGCTTGTTGAGCTCTCTCTGTTTGGCCATAGATTAAAAAATAAACAAAAAACATACCCACTACCCTATCATCAGTGTCTCCATTCCCTTCACAGTCTCCTGTCAGCCCCTGACTAACTCCATCATTTAAGCACTTTATCAAGAGACTCAAGCCTTATCCCAGAGATGTGCTAGATACCAGGGGGCAGGGGGTAATATTAGTCACACCGAAAGAATCCCTAGGTGACTCTAGATGAGAAAGGTCCCAGGGGTGTGGAGGTTGACTAAGAGAGACAAGTATTGCAGGTGGGCGGCCAGGGTATAATTGGTGGAGGTGCTGTCCTGTGGTATCCCAGCCCCCCGAAGGTCTGCAAAGTGGGCTGAAGTCAGAGTGACCTCCTGCCCAGCACTTTTCATGTGGTCCCCACCTCCAACCCCTACATGTACTTCCTGAGCTCCTAATAAATCAGAATCAAGAAGGGCCTTAAGTTAGCAAAACAGGCCCAGCTCCTCCCTGGAAAACCAGCCGGGCAGGTTTGCTGGTGCCAGGGTGGAGGGTGGGGGAGCAAGTCAACTCCAGGGAACAAATGGAGCTGACAAGTGCCAGGACCTATGAGATGGCTCTGGGGAGAAGCCAGATAAGATCACAGCTGGTTTGATCTAGTGCTGACCAAGGCTGGCTCTTAGGGTCAGGTGGCTTGTAAATGTGTTTGAAGATGGGCTGGTTTTGAGGCAGGATTGGAGAGGATGGTATTACTAGTGGTTAGAAGCAATTTCATTAGTCATCAAGGAACAGGCACCAGAGATGTATGATATCAAGAAAACCTGGGAAGCTTAGGTAAAAAGGAGACAATTTGAACCTGTAAAATCAGGATTTCTAGAGATCAGGGACCCAGATCTTTATTTTTTAAAGCTCTCTCAGATAATTGTAATACTCAGAGGTTTGGAAATTATGATCTGGTCTTTAAAGATATTTCTGGAATCCCTTCAATTTCAGAGTTTGCTACTTAGCTGTGTTTCTGTGGGAAAGTAACTTAATCTCTCTGAACTTCATTTGCTCCATTTGGAAGATGAGGATAACTTTACTTATCTCTTAGGGCTGCCATTAAGGATACATGTGATAGGCAGGCCAGGTGTTAGATTCTGCACCTGGCACAGAGAATGTCATTCAAGTGTTAGGTGCTACAATTATCATTCCAGCTGAGTGGAACCTTTGGGGAAGCTGAGAGAGTTAAAGCTCAGGAGCTTTGCTTCTGTTCAGAGTCTCTGATGTTGGGAACGTGTGTCCCATGCAGTGCAGTGTGCTGAGAGGAATCAAGATTGGGGGGCACAGGCTGAGCCCAGGGCAGGGACTGTTCATTTTGACCACTGACCTGGTCACTAGGTCAGGGCCTTGGGCAGACACAAATTATAAGAAGCACAGCAGAGATTTGTGGTTAAGACCTTGGGCTTGGCTCGGCGCCTATAGCTCAACCGGCTAAGGCGCCAGCCACGTACACCTAAGGTGGCGGGTTCGAATCCCCAGCCCGGACCCGCCAAACAA